GAACCACCTCCTTTCACTTTCCCCTTTAGCCTAGCCACTGACCGCCCTGTTTTTACGCTCGGCCAGACAGGATCACCCGTCTCTCGATTAGGCGATCGCCGAAACATCGTTCCTGCTCTTTTCCGTTGTCCGGTCTCGGTGCTATCCATGACGAGCTCCATAGTTTTAGTGGATCCATAGTGTGATTTCTGCCTGGAGCCAATTGGTCCGGTGATTCCGCGGAAGCGTAACCATTTTTGGAGACTTTCTACCGCGTAATAGCCAAGATTTATGCCTAACAGCAATCGACCCTGATTTCTGGGTAAAAAAGTGAAAAATGAATGAAAAATGTTTTAAGAAATGCATAATGGTCACAATAAAACCCGAGCTCCTGGAAAAACTTCTAAACTAATAGCCAATTATCTTACACCATCCATTTTTCTACAATCATCCGCAAAAGATTTAGGACCCGCACTTTTGGGACTTTAAAAGACGCCCATTTAGCACTTGCTTTGCGATGGTTCTTCAGAGATCTCGGGGAGCCGGTCTCCTTCCCCATCCTATCCCTGAGCTAGATAGCTTGCCTGCGTCACGGGTGACGACACGAATAGTTGCAGGAGGACGGCCAGTTTTTAGGTGTGATCGGATCCGGGCGGGGTCCGAGAAAATTGGATACGGATGTTACGTAGCAGGAATGGGTCCGAAACGTCAGCAGAGGTCATGAGAGATATTTAGAAGGGTTCAAAAAGCTGGAATTTCTCAGTGGCCTTCGATATATGTGGAGAAATCTAATTATAGCTGCAAATAATGCGATACAAGAAAGTTATAGAAAAGTTTTAAGATTTGACAGCCGGGTGCCATTATTGCAAAGTTTTGAGGTCTTGTAATGTGAAATGTAGATGTCTAACATGAAAAAGAAAAGAAATAACCGAGTAGACGCCTCATCCGAACTAAAATAACATGCGCTATCAGTGTCCCGGTGGGTGGGGGAGGAGACGAGGCTATTGCGAAGTTGGTGGGATCAGCACAACCACCATGTCCGGTCGCTTAACGGTCAAAAGCACCTAGCCCTTATCAAAGCTTCACTTTTTAAGAAATACCTCTCGATGAGTCAACGAATTTGGAAAGCAGCCAATTTTGTCGAAATTTCGGGGTTTAGCTTTCTGGTTTGGTTGTACTTTTGGGGATTAGAGGCTTGTTGGCGATTTTGAAAGCAGGGGGGCAGGATTAAAGTTGAAAAACCGATTTTTCGATACCTTCTTTCATTTTCTAGTTTATGATTAGAGGAAAAACTTATATTATTTTGATTTTGGGAAATAGAGTATATTTTTAGCAGCTCAAACTGCTAAGAAGCCTTAGACACACAGTGCATAGCTGAAACAGATGAATTTTTATATTTTTTTGAATATGAATGGTATTTTCACAACAATATGTGAGGCTATGTTAAACGAAATACGGTATTTAAGTGGACATACACAATTCATAGGTCAAAAAATACAATGTAATGATTTTCTATGAAATATAGCTGTCGTAAGCGACGGAAAGGCTTCAAGGAATCCAAAAAACGGCACGCAACCCAAAACCAAAGATCCATCCGCCAGACTATTTCGGGGTAGTGTTGCATTCGGAACGGGACGTCAACGAAGCTTTGTTATCTGTCAGAGCCCCGGCTCGTTTCACTAGCGATTGCCATTTTAGGGGTCGTCCCGGGTGTCCAGCCGTACTTCCCGACCCCTATCAGTCAGACAGTCTCGTTGCTTCATACTTTGCTGAAGAAACTAAGCGCTGTATGCCCGGGGCTGTTAAACTGGTCGCTAAGCGTTGGAGTTTGAAGTATGTTTTAGGTGGGGAGGGTTTTCGAACTAATAAACAAATTTATTATTATTTTAGAGTAATGTGCCGAACTAAACAGTTATTTTTTTATTATTTTTGACAGTATTTTAAAGGAGCAAGACAACCAAATCCACATCAGCCGATCGCGGACAAAACAAGGCCATATCTCGCATGCAAATTTTTACATATTCCGCAGGATTTTTGACTTGCATTTCTGTTGCATCTACAGTAGCTAATTTGGCTCTTTATATTTCTCTTTGTTTCTTATATAACAGCTAACAATGTTACTGACACCATCATAGACAACACTTTGCAGGAACCAATCTGCATCCGCTCCCTCCTTCCCTGTACGTTTCCGTAAACAAGGCTTGCCCACTCAGCCTTATTGACTGTTCCGTCCTTCCTGGCTTCCTCTCCTCCCTCCGGATGCCATTCACAGCCAAACCACGTGCGTCCAAGTCGGATCCCCGCACTGCTGGTCCATAATTTGACCTGGGAACGGTGTACGGGCGGCGTCTAATCCAGCAAATCTTACCTTGTCAATAGGCAGATTAAAAAAAGACGGTCTCCGTCTGATTTTATATTTACTCGTTCACTGAGTGGGTTCTGAGCGTGCCAGTCAATATAAGGTTGTAAAAGATTGCATAGATAAATTAGGCCTAATTACCGTATCTCTTCTCAGGGGTTTTAATTAGTTTAGGCCGAGAAAAATTCACTTGGTTGGTGGACATACACGATCCTTCAAATCCTCTTTCCACGAACTAGCATTAGATGGCAAGTTAAATTAGAGGAAATACAGTATAGGTGCATAGGGCTAGATTGAAATGGATTAAAAATCATGTCAATACAAAGCATTCCGAGGATGTACACCGGAAATTGTTATTTAGGATGATTTTAAGGCTCCGAGTAAGCTTCTCCCGGCCTACCCGTTTCCGCACGTTCCATACGATAAATAACTTTGCAAAATCCGTCGAATAGTCCTTTTAAAAATCACCTGATTTTTAGGGTACTGTAGAGGTTATTTACACTACACTCTCGGGCTAGGCCAGTCTTAGCCTGCCCCTATCTATTCGATTCTAGGCGTAGAAGCGAGAAGATAGGGGGTTAGGAAAGGCTAGGCAAGTAGCAGGACGAACACTACACCGAAAGACAAGATATAGTCCGACTCGTTTGCCGAAAAGTACGAAATCTGTGACGGAGTACAAAACGTGGGTGCTGGGTTAATAAGCATGCTCATTAGAATAGGGTAGAGTGATGGTGCAGAAGTCTTGTCGGAGGACCGCTAGATTCTAGTCTCTATTGGTGGAGGTGGCAATTTTGCAGTGGCGGCCAATCATCGCCCAGTCACACTAATCCCCCCTAGGGCCAAATGGTGTTCTCGGTCTCCCCTTTCTCCTCCCCCTCCTCTTTTGGTCAGACATGCCGGCTGTTTCTCAGGCATGAGGGGTGATTCTTTTCCAGAGGTAGACGGGTGGTTGTGAGGGGAAGATCAAAGGCAAGGTACCGCAAGGACTTAATGAGTTGTACGTTGTACCGAGACGTGTATTTTCTTGACACCTGCAATCAAGCGGAGGAGGGTGGGGGTTGATCGTAGATAGATCGGTTTGTTAAGCAGAATAAATATAGCAATTTTATGAGTAGAGTCTGGAAAAGAATGGAAATGAGATTTAAAAATGGCGATTCTAAGACATTCAAAATATTGGAGATTCTTAGGCTTAGATTTCGGTTTAAGCTAAAGCTTATGCTTAAGCTTAAGCTTAATCTATGCGTAGGCTCTCTCGCAACGCCTCAATTTGTTCCCTAATCCGTAAAATAGAATCACTAAACACCAACATCATTTGTGCCCATTTGTGCACTCGCCGAAATCGCGCCGACCAAGTACATAGTGCGATTTTGCAGACGCTCTTCAAGGTTTCTTTACCCCTCCTTCAAGTACGCTACGTTTTCTTCTTGTGCTCAAGCGTGAGATTAACCAATTGGAGTGAAAGTGTTACCCGATCCCTAGATAATCCCCACCAACTAAAAAGGCAGACTGATTACCCAGAGTTTCTTTCCGACCCAATTACAAGTACAAGAAACGGCAATTATCCGGCCTACAAACTGTGCTGCCGCGGGGGAAACTACATCGCCGGCGCAGGTGATGGGAAATGCGTGAGTTTCAAGAGCTAGGAGAAGATCAAAGTATTTATTAGGGAAAGTGAGAATATTCATAAAATATATTTAAAAAGAAAAAGACGAAAGAGATAACCGAATTAAACCCGAATGCATAGCATCACAAAAGCAGTTTTAGGCAGTGAAAACTATATATAAAAATACTATATATAAAAAAATAGTGTCGGTGTGTTTGTGTGTGTGTGTGCCACTTTGCATGCAACTTCCGTCAGGGTGTCCGGAGGATATCTCGAGAGGGAAAGGGTTTTAAGCAACGTATGATGCGTCATTAGGTGCGTAATGGCGCTGAGATGAATGCACATACATCAGATTTTGCAAATTATGTTATTTTCGACGTTAAAATGAAGTTTTTGCTAGAAAATGGAGCACCCACTTTGTTAGGAATGCATTAGCATATGCCGGAAATGGCGCGATCCTATATAAAGGGCGCAGGGAGTGATTTTCATTTTTTTGTCATCGGAATTCGCGAGAATTATGCAAAATGAAGCATATTATGACGCTAGACGGGGGCCAGGGTTGAAAAGACGCGAAGCGGCTTTTCAACCCTGGTAATAAATAAAAAGAAAAGGTGAAACTACAAACCATCACTATAGCAATTTTCGGCACGTTGATCGCATATTGCCGAAAGCTGAATTCCACTATTTTCCTGAAAACAGGATAATTTTCTAGAAAACTGCATACCGTAACCCTGGAAATTCCATGGACAGCAGCCAATGTTGGGATCGGTTGCAAATCTACATGACCTCGCGCTTTTATCGCATCAATCAGCTTCTAGGATATTTTATAGCTTTTAAAACAGATTCGTACAAATGGCAGATCAATTTCAAAACGAGCATCACCGTACAACTGAGCCCAAACTCGTGGAGTATTTATCGCCGTATCCAATGTCATCTGAAACTTGTGCTTTATTAAATCAAGCAACTTACGTTTAACGGATTTAATTGAGCAACAACTTGAGCAAGGGAGCCAAGGGCCTCTATTGACGCCTGTCCAGGCAAGAATACGGTAATTCCCTAAACTTTTAGTAGAAAGGGCGAGGAGGGACTTGCCTTATCATCGCTCCGTATTAATGGGCACATCAAGCTCTTTGCTCGTTTCCTAGGTTCCAACGAGTTCGCCGATTCTGGATCCGAGAATCCATCCAGTCCGTTATTCCAGACGATTCCAAGTTGTTCGGAGCGTTTCATGGCTCCAAACCTTGAAAAAGGTGAATTACAAGGGGTTGACTTACCCAGAACCTAAAGAAAGTCCTAGCGCGGCGGCATTACCGTCTCGATCTACGACTGCCAAAAAACTGGAAGCGCTTTGTCGAGTCTAAAATTTTTGGAATTTCGATGACTAAGCTTTGTAAAATATGTTACCTGTTCAAGCTGCCGTCCGTAGTAAGGAGGCACTTTCACAAAATCGCTGATTTTTCTCGCCAGGCGCTCGTGAATTCCATCTTGGAGATGGTTGACGGAAAAACGAGGATCTGCTGTAAATTCTTTATTCCTTTAGTTGTTTTCTTTATTCATATTTAATTTTTAGATTAAGTCCTTACCAACTTCCTGCAATCTTCCCAGCGAGAATTTTTCAGCCTCCAAGAGGCGATGGAAAAATTTATCCGGGCTGAGGTCGGTAGAATTTTTCAAGGATTCTAAAATTATATTTTAGCCGCTGGGGTTAAATAGATTGTTTAAATACCTTGTAAGACCGATAAAACGAGCAGGATGTAAGACGTTGCGGCAGGGCGGTGAGGACCGAAAATATGCATATTATTGATGGAGTCCGAACTGATCCTCGACACATGCGATACATAATTCACGAAATCGCTCTTCTGCAGAATTCCTCCTGAAATTAAATCCTTAGATTTTTTGGATACCTAGCCTACCATTTTGTTTCATTTCACGGATGATTTGATTGGCAATATCGCCGCGGTAAAACAATTGGACTGGATCTCGAGTTGTGGCTAACTACATAAAGTATACTAAATTTTGAAAAAGGGTGACATACGCGTCGCATCGTTTCCGCCAGCGTAAAATCGACCACGCTTGCATTCGGTTTTTGATTGAGGAATGCAAAGGTGCTAAAATTTTGTTAGTCTAATTTTATTACTAGGGTTACCGTAGGCTCGGCTCCGCAGCCAACCTATATTCATCTTTTTGGAGTGCGTGTTTGAACGAACCTGCAATTTTGTTGACAATAGCGCGCTCTTTGCTTACCAGATCTTGTGAAGCCTTTTTGGAGGTGTTCAATGGTCGGTAATATTAACTTGAAAACAATGGATCACATTAAAGCATGGAAATACCTCAAGCCATCCGATAGTTCCGGAAGGAAACCTTCGAAATATTGACCAAAGGCCGTGCAGAACACCGGGTACAGAAATGGATTTGTAACCTAATAAAGTTAGCAGTACCGTAGGAAAAAGGTACCAGTGTCGCGATTTGATTCAGCATTAAACAAATTTTCCGTAGCTGCTTGCGCTGATATTTCCAAGGCATCGATCGAATATGCAAAGCCGGTTGATCTGAAAACAAAAAATATCATACAATTAACAATAAAGTGCTGCAGCGTCCAAATGGACTGTGCTCGCTCTAAATCTTAAAGGGACTGTGCCAACTCAACTTACTTTTCAAAAACTGTTCCCAACATTCCTCCCCCAAGGCCACTGCTATGAGGTTCCAAAGCACATATGCAAAATGCCATCGCAATTGCTGATTCGACCGCATTTCCGCCTTTCCATAGAATCTTCCTAAACAAATTTTATTCTTTACTATTACAGAGTTCGATCCCTAAAAATTCTAGTTTCTCAGCAACAGACTTTCCAATTTCCGAGCAGTGTCGATTGGAAGAGATGACAGCAAAATGTTGATAAGTGACTGGTTTTGATAAATTTCCGGAAATGGGCCAGGGGATTGGCGGTGTTCTGGTGGTCGGGGTATCTGCAAACGTACTGTACTCGCGGAATATAGTTAAAAGGCCGTCCGCGAGCCACCCGAACAGACCCTAATATGGCTTGGCACAGTTTTTTTCGACCCTGTTTTTTTGACGGCATTGGAAAGAGCATAGTCGAATTAGTAGAGCTGCATAGTTTTGAAAGTTTAAAAAGTTAATTTTTAGGGTTTAAATTGGAGTCAAAGTTGCCGACCCTCAAAAATTATCTCGAAAGTTACTGAACCAAATTGGTCGAAAATTTGTCACAATACCTAATTTCGGATGCTGATCATTTCTCTAATACTCCAAAGCGCGAAAATGGGCGGAACATGGTTAAATCGCGTACCCAAAACAGTTTTTCAGGGTTTTGTATTTTACGGGTTCTTGGCGGTCCGTTGTAAATAACCTTAAAAGATGCGCAAAAAAATTCTACATCGAATGAGGTATTTTATACCGGGCCGACAGAACCCCCTTGCTATAAAGCTTTACTGCGCGCAAAACACCCCCAAATGAGTCAAAAACCACAAAATGACAAATTTGGAAATCGAATATATCAAACCATATCTAGAGAACGAGCTGAGTCCATTGCAAAAAAGAGCAAAAAGAAATATTGCTTTTGAAGGGGGGCTGGGATCCGGGGAGGAATCGAACTCGGACCCTACGCCTGGAAGCCCTCCCTGGGGCCGTGGTGGATTGCATGAGTGCTCGCCTACCAATCCAAGGGCCGCGCCAGTTCGATCCCAGCCCCCTTCAAAAGCAATATTTCTTTTTGCTCTTTTTCAATGGGCTCAGCTCGTTCTCTAGATATGGTTTGATATATTCGATTTCCAAATTTGTCATTTTTGAGGTTTTTGACTCATTTTGGGGCTGTTTTGCACGCAGTAAATGCTTTTAGCAAGAGTAGGTTTCTGTCGGCCCGGTATAAAATACCTCATTCGATGTAGAATTTTTTGCGCATCTTTAAGGTTATTTACAACGGACCCCAAGAACCCGTAAAATACAAAACCCTGAAAAACTGTTTTGGGTACGCGATTTAACCATGTTCCGCTCATTTTCGCGCTTTTGGATGTATTAGAGAAATGATCAGCATCCGAAATTAGGTATTGTGACAAATTTTCGACCAATTTGGTCCAGTAACTTTCGAGATAATTTTTGAGGGTCGGCAACTTTGACTCCAATTTAAACCCTAAAAATTAACTTTTTAAACTTTCAAAACTATGCAGCTCTACTAATTCGACTATGCTCTTTCCAATGCCGTCAAAAAAACAGGGTCGAAAAAAACTGTGCCAAGCATTGTTCGGTCCTCTCGCAAACGGCCTTTTAAAAACTAACCAGTGGGTGCGGGGGTGCTTGGCCTTCTTGTAGGTGTGGTCCAAGTAGGTTCCGAAAGTGGAAGCTCGGTTTGAACTAAATATCGAGTTTAAAATAGCATTTAAAAAAAACACACTATTTTTTCGAGTAGGCCAACTTTTATGAAATTTGTAGGTTTTTCGAGCGCTTTTAAAAGAATTAAAGTTGCAATTACCTTCTTCTTGATTTGGAATGATCGTAGTTGAAGCAAATAGGTCCACTTCCGGCTGAAGCGTTATATTCCCCTGATTTTCCGTAGTGACCCTTTGCTCAATCGCAACTTTTACTTGAGATTCCTAAAAGCCATTAGTTTACGTATTCAATTCTTGCCTCCATTGAAATCTGCAAAGCAGCCAATTCAGCGCCTTCCCGTTCATTTCGAAGGAAATAGTAGACGGTTAAGCCGAATATAGCCAGGAGTAGGATTAAAATGGCCGCGATAAGCCATGGGACACCACTGGAATTCAAATCAAAAATTTCAAATTAAAAAAATACCTTTTGCGCAACTCATCAAGCTCTACGCTGTCTTTGCGACGATTGATTCGATATTTTGCGCGCGGCATTGTTATGGCATAGCGGGCACTATAAATCAAGCAAAAGTACCACAAAAACAAAGTATCAAAGTAATTTTTACGAAACAAGAGGATAAATTAGCCAAATATTCTAAGGAACTCCTAGCCTGTCGCTCAATTTGTCGTAATCGACAAATTGTTGTTGGTTCCCAGGGAGGCCCAAGTTGTCAAACAGGGATCATGTTGCGGTTTTTGCGAGGGAGACCCTTACGAATGTGAAGGGCAACGAGATGTCGATGGGCCACAACCCAAAGGTGACAGCCGTGTTTTTGGGGATGGAAACGGATCTGGAACTGAGTCAAGGGATGGGCCCTTGGCCCTCCCTAACACCTGATCCGTCGATCAGGATTTATGGGCGACAATAGGGGGATACGGCATGCTACTCTTTCCGGTCTGTCGTTGCCCCCTTGGGTTTCCCATCAAATGGCCATTGGGTTAGGGGGCCATCCGACAAATGCCCACCGGCCTGGGCAATTGGATTTGTTGGTGAATGGCGATTGGGAAGGAAAAGCTTGTATTGTAAGGAGGTTGATGTTGTATCATACTAGGGTGGCCTTCAAAATGTCGAAAATCATAATGTCCAAAGAGACTCAAAATTTCAGAATGCCGAACTTTACACAAGCAAACTTTCTGGTAAAGGCCCCAAATCCTATGCGAAGGATAGATATTATGAAATTGCGGCATTTTTAAATGTCATATTATGTATTCCAAAATTGAAATTTTCGTCATTACGATACTAGCAAATCCTCCTACTATCTACAGCGTCAGTGCGTTCCACTTTGCATGCAGCTTCCCAGAATTTTTTGTCGGGAATTTTTTAGTAATTTTGCATTTAAAAAATAGTTTACCGTCTAATGCAGCTAAGAAAAACTATTTTTATGCTTGCTAGCTTATTCTAAGAAATTTGACGTTTTTCTAACTTTTCAACTTGATATTTTTAATTCCCTTCGAAACCTATTTACCCCTGCTGACCTTCCGCGGCTAAAAATGTCCCATTGGCGGGTCATTTGCCGATAAATAAGATACCCCTCCGTTGTTTTTGGCACGGCTGATGAAACCGAAAAAACAACGCAGGTTTTAAAGGGCAGACGAACTTGGTTTGTTAAAGATCATCTTGGTATTTGCAAAAATGCCTACCATAAAGTTACCCAGCTCATTATTTGATCTCGTTAATGCACAGAACATTCAGCCATAACACCCTTATCACAAAAATTCTATGTCGTCCGTGCTAATCCCAAATTTCCCTCCCTTTTCCGGTATTTCCGACAATGCTCCATTGACACCGATAAAGCCGTTCGGACGTTTTTCCGGCGGAAATTTATGCCATTTCTGCTCTGTGCTGTCAGTATACACGAGGCCCTGTGTCTTTGAGGGGGGTTTGCGAAATGGAGGTCTTCCAGTTCCTTATCATTTTTGAAGGGCCTGCCTGCCCCTTTTTCGCGACATATAGACCCGGGGAGAGCCCTCATCCTTCCAAACTGAACTGGTCCATAATCTGTACACGGTCCATCGCCGTACTGTTGACGAACTATTTTTTGGTATGGAACAAGTGCATAAACCTGTTGTGCCAACAATTTCTGCAGCCGTCTCGGAGACGTCGTTGGATTGGGAAACAAAAAAAGAGGTGAGATTTTAAATTGATTCAGCTGTATACTTTTATATATCCTTTAAGACTCGTGAAAAATGTTCGTTTATTCTCAAATTTTGTCCAGGTATCGAAAAATGGACGGAAATTATCATTACTAGCCCCTGTAAAGCCATTTATAAAATTTATAATCTAAATTAATTTTAAGTTTTCATAATGAAAACCCATCCTTATAATACTTTTTTCAGCGCCCCCGCTCACTTCGTTCGGTCACATTTTCAAGTGCAACTGTCATCCGAATCACCCGGGATACCGTAGATGATGACCCTAAGAAATCCTACCTCGAAGCTGGTTGGTTTTTATAGCCTTTTTCGCCTCTAAGCCACCAAGAATCCCAAAAACCCAACTAAAAGCTTATTTTTCAGTGGAACCGCCACGCAGGACGAATTGCTATGCAAAAATTGCTGGACTTATTTTCCTAAACCTCGTTGCTGCTTCATTAATTCTGGTATTTGTGTTGTCCAAAAAGCATTAACGTGTCATTCCGCTTGTGTCGCTTCACCATTTTCACTTTTCACGGGTCCTCCTTGTGCTTTCATGCGTACAAAGCTTCAATAAAATATAGAATTGATCTATTGACTCCACCGCAAGTTGAAAAGCGGCTCTCGCGGATAATTTGCGATCATTGGAATGATCGGTCAAGAAGCTCATACGGACAGCAGGCGAAGACATTTCGTGATAAGGAAGTCGCGGGGCACGAAGATTCAAATGAAGAAAATTTGAAACCAAAATGGCCGCACTTTCAGGTTTTACTTGCGCATTTATTTACCCTGCCTACGCCCGCCAATTTGTAAGACTCTTTCAATTGTAAGACTCTTTTTTCAACGCCCAAGGCGTCTCTAGGATAATCCCATCAGCTGGATCGCCTCTCCACCCCGCTAACCGCCCACGAAATTCGACTTATCAACACTTTTCGGCCTCTAAGGCCCTCAAAAACGACGCGGCAAAACGGGGGTCACCCCAAGAAAACAGCCGGTGAACACGTCACGGCCAGTCATTGTACTCGCTGCTATCTTATAATCTTGAGTCAGTTCATTTTGTAATGCCCTAGCATTCATCATCACGAGCAAAGTAGAGTCGAGAAAGGCTGGGATCTAGGCATCGTCATTAGTGCGCTCGGCTGCGGTAGAGGGATGCAAATGCGTGAGTAGGGCGCAAAACAGCGCAGATAGGCTTGGTCCCATCCCAAAACGCCAGCCTAAGTAAAAACACTTTACAGTCAGGTAGTTGCATGTCTGCAACTAGGGTTTGTCAGCGGAAAAGAGGCTACACATATTTATGTCTAAAGTTGCAGTTAAAAAAAATTAAAGTTTACCCGAAGATTCGGCCTGACATCCCTCTGGTCGATAGTCTAACAACATTTCTTTCTACGCAGATTGTAGTGACAGCCGTAGAAAGACAAGCAGAAGCGACCATAGACGGCGCATCGTTTTCGAAAGCATCTGAAAATGTTGGACCGCAATTTCTGGGCCTCTAAATGCTGCAATTTTGCCATATTCAAATCTACCACCCACCAAAACTGAACTGTCGTTCTCAGATACGTGCTCAATTTATTATCACCAGAAACAAAGCAGACAACTATGATGTTAGGAAAAAAGCAACATGGTAACAAAATCCAATCGGAAACGAGTAAGAGGAAAACAACGAAAGCTACCCTATTTTCGGAAAGCATCAACAAAATCTCCCAAACTATCTAGACATTACAAATATACGCGTTGTGTCGCGCTAAAGCAATCAGAAAACTATCTCCTTGTAGCCGGCCGTGCTTCTCTCCTCGGTTCGAACGGGTGGCGGCTGATTTCGAAAGGCGGCACGGGCCCGGTAGTCGAACATGTCGCCCTAAAAAGATCGAATATAAAAAAGTGCGGCGTGCCCACATCGAGTCCCTTTAACAAATCGTGGACATCTTCGGCGGCAAATGGTTTAGTGTAGAAGAAGTCGGACTCGAGGCACCCCTAAATAGATTTTTGTAATGTGCAATGACCCGTAAATTCAATTCAGCCTAGCTTGTGCATCTTTTTTGTTGTTTCCGAATCCTTTATTTCGACTTTGCGGAGATTCCCGATCTCTAAGGCCACACGTCATCTATGTATCAAATAGTTGATTGGCTAACCTTAAGTCCCTCCAAGAATTCCGTGAAATATTTTTTTGAGCAATTGGAGGATTTTTAGAGTGGGCCTAAAATTAGCCAACAGGAAAACCGCTGGGATTTGTCAAATCAAGCACATTCGGAAAATGGACTCGGAATCACCGAAAATCTCTATGCATAGGCTAGGTCCCGAATGGAATTTCAAGCTATATTCAAAGTAACCGTAGCAACCAAAGCACAAACCTCGGCGGTCATACGTTGCTTCGGGTCAAGCACCAAGAGCTGGTCCAGCAAAGCCACGGCTTCATTATTCTGACGCAGAATTGTTTAGAAATGAATAGCACGGATTACCCGAAGTATCGGAGACAAACGCGAGCAAACATGGCGCTTCGCGGTCGTAGCGAAATCGAATTTGTCGTAAAGGGGCAGACGAGTACATTCCTAAAGTATAAGTAAAAGGTCGTCACAAAAATCAATACCGGCCAGTTCTTCGGGGTGATCGCGCCGCAGAGCTTTTTGATAGCTTGAATCTGGCTCTGTTCAGTGTCGCCCTGGAGGATCGGAGTCCGCGTCCACAACTCTGCCATCACGCATCCAGCGCCCCACATGTCGACCGCCGTGTCGTAGAACCTACAAAATAATGTCAATATTGCCGAAATTTAAGAACGATTTAAAAAACGAACTGACTTTTCGCCCAGCAGCAACTCGGGCGGGCGGTACCAAAGCGTGATGACTGTCGGCGTGTAGGGCAGCTTGTCGGCCTCATCCTTGGCGACTAAACAAATTTCTCTACCAAATCCATGATTTACCATGCCCCGCGCGTGCAAGCCCGAAATCCGCCAATTTCAGGATGCCATTTCCGGTAATCAGCAGATTGGCAGACTTGATGTCGCGGTGCATGATCCGGCATTTGTGCAAGTGAAAGAGGCCCAGGAAAAGGTGCTAAGCAAAATCAATCAATTTCAACGAAAAAAACCCCACATACCTTCATCAACGTCTTTTGGTGTACGGGCTTCAATTTGACGTTAGCGTTGCCAAGCAGTCCGGAGAGGTCGTAATGACAGAAGTCGAATACCATGTAGAATACGGGCGAGGTATTCTTAGAAGCTAAAAAAAGATATACGCCAGACAAAACGGCTTACACTTTTCCGAGCATATCTCAATCAACTCAATAATGTGCTGATGCTTGAGTTGCTGCAGTAATTCGATCTCCATGATAGCGTTACCCGGATACTAAAAGTGGAGATAAGAAAAGTAGGAAAACTAACGCCTTGCGTTTCGCTGCTATTAAAAACGTTCTTCTTGAGCGCCACGATCCGGCTCGTCTTTTTGCAACGTGCCTTGTAGACCTCGCTAAATGGCTGGAGATCAACCCCCATAGCTGATGGTCAGACCCATAGGTTCCATGGCCAATCTTCTGCATTCGTTCGTAGTTGCTGGCATCTGAAATCCGTGGATGGCTGCAGCTTCGCATGTAGCTGCACATATCGGCCACCGAGGGCTGAACGGCCGCAACAGGTTCCGATTTCGCCCCTAAAAGTTGAAATTTATTTACCGCGATTAAAACTCATCACCTTGTACCGGAACGTCAACAATTTTGTGCGATACTTCAATAATTTCCCCGGTCGTAAAGGACTCAAACCGTGGGGGCGCTGACGCGGAATTCGGCGGGCCTCAAGGCAAATTCTCGTATGAGTAGCAAGCGCATACCTTTAGCCGAAACTTCTGTTATATTCACCCAGCTTTCACGTTTGAAGAAATCGCCGTTCAACGACGTAGCATACTGGGGTGGCGGCGCGGTGTAGATCGGTGGGCCCTCTAGAAAATATCGAGATCTGCGAAAAATAAATAAAAAAACACCTTTAGATTCCTGATGCGACCGCTTACCCAAAGAACTTGTCGGTGGCCAAAGCGGACTTTGATCAGCCGATGGATACATCGTTCCTCTGGAATGTTGAAAATGAGATAAAATAGACAAAAGAGAACTAGATACAGAAAACAAAGAAAAGAAAGACAAAGGAGCAATTCAATATGAATTTCTAATTTCCCTACCTAAGAGTTTTGGCAGTAATTATTTCCCTCTACACTCTGCTATAATTATTTTAGTTTGCTAGCCCCCACTTATGTATGGCCAAAACCGCACCTATGCCGGGCAGCTCTGCTGCCCCTTTTTCTAGTCTAGTTTTTTTGTGCTGGTTACGAATGCGCTGAATTGCGCAGAATTTTTTGTTTTTGCGCTGAATTAAGGTACTGTCTCTGTATTTAATTATCGGCTACTTCCGGTCATTTTGTATGGCGAAATTCAGGCACATTAGCTCGTATGCAACCTCGAAAAACCGGAAAATTTTAAAAAATGGCTTGTAAAATAACTGGCGCTGAAAAATCATAGCCCGAAACTGGCAATTTTGGGTTACGGTGGCGGGGCACCCTTTAGCGAACAGTACAATCACTTGGATGATAAAGTGTCTCCAATGCAGTTTTCTATTGGTTATTTAACTTTTTCATGCATAAAAATAATTTATCAACAAAAAATCAGACAAGCACACGCCTTACGTTTTTTCCTCGCGCTTCTTGCCCCTTTTTTGCTCGACTGCTTGCTGAAACGCATTTAGAAGTGTTTATTTCAACACAAAGAGCAAATAACAACAACAAGAACAACAGAATCAATAATAACAAGATGACTAGAAAGTTTAAAGATTGGCTTTTCTTTGCTGCGCCAAGAACGCATTCCTTGCGGTTCGTTTCTCCATCTGGTACGTCTTGCTTGCCACGGCGTCTTAGGCCTTACTTGGAGCGCGCACGAGGGGACGGGAGGGACTGGGCTAGGCCACGCCCCTTTTTGGCCCCCAAAATGTATTAGAAAAAGCTTTATAAAGGCTATAACTTTTTTTCGAGAAAGAATTACAAATGTTCCACCTGGCGATCGATAGAGAAGACTCTAGGGAACATTTTGGTCAAAGAATTTGGGCGATCGCCGGGAAAAATAAGGACTTGAAACGTTTTGAAGCAAAAATCAAGAGTTTTTCTGGTTACGGCCTCGGGACCGTCCCATCTGCCAATTTTCTACGTGGAATTCGCTAAAGATTTATTGACGGTGCTTTGCAGAAACGTTTTGCAAAAAAAGCAAAACGGTGTCGCGTCTTTCTGCGAGGGGAGGAATCGAACCAGCACCCCGCGCCTGCCACCGCCTTAGACCACTAGGCCATGCCCGTCCCCACCCCCGTGCGCGCTCTAAGACACCGTGTTGTATCGCGGATCGGCGTCGCCTTTCTATTCTCTTTGGCAAGTTTGTCGAACTTCTCCTCCTCCATGAATCCCTCCATTTTTTTAGACAAATAGGCATTAAGTTCATCGATTTTTGGAGTGTTTTTGGAAGAACGGACGGGAAATTGCAAGGCATTTAAGGTCTGTAAAAGCTTGTTTTTCGTATTAGACTTACATTTAGACACTGGTTGACCTTCGCGCGGTGTGGGCTTCTGGGTCATGTACAATTGGCAAAGGAAGCTCTGAAGCCTCATTCGCCAACTCAACCCTGCGAGGCACGAAAAGGAAAGATTAGTGGTCTTACATTTCGGGCACGTTTGTTGCGGCGTCGCGCAAAGTATTTTGCCGGGCATTTTGATCGAACGTTTAGTTTAGAAATCCATGAATAAGGACAGGAATCTGCTAGAAGGTCTGTTTTAAACTAAAAATTGCCACGTAACTGCGTTGGTTACATTACTTTGGCCCTAGGAATAGTTATAGGACGTTAAAGCGCACGTTCAGGGAAGGGCCGTGTCCTCGTCCCAACGTGTACACCCTATGGACGTAGGGACCGCGCGCACTGCCTGCCCGTGCTGTGACAGGCCATTCCCCTCCTTTGCGGCGTGGGGCGCCCCTCGCCCCCTCGCCAAGTTGTAGCTGTGGCTGACTGGTATGCATCCGCGCCTCCTGAGCGGGGGGCCCGGGTTCGACCTCCCGGCCGCGGCAAAACTCTTTGCTTTTTTCCAAAAAAACGTCCCTGAACGTGCCCTTTAAACTATCAAGTATACATCAATATGCTTGAACGCTCGAACGCTCGAACTTCTAAATTTGCTCGAACGCTCGAACTTTCCAAATTGCCAAACATTCCAATTATTTATTTTTTTTAAGAAGAAGGAAACCAAGGAACGAAAATCAGGAAGCTTAGCTTAGCTTACTGTAAAGTGTTTTTACTCAACTTGGAGTTTCGATTCCGGACCAAGTGCATCTTGTACAGAATTTTTCGCTGATTCCGAATATGTTTTCCAAATTTGCTACGGACCGTTATTCTGAAAGTTATACGGCAATTATGACCCTCGTTTTCACCAAAATGAAGGTATCGTTATAGTTTTCGATTTTCTTCATTAATTTCAACGTCAAAATTGACTCGACGTTGTCTCGGCTAGCATCCTACAGATCAAAACAAGCATTTTAGATTAAAAATGAGATTTGTTATGCAAAAAGCAAGAGAAATGATGCAGGGGGGGGGGTTCGAACCGCCGCCCTGCGCTTGGCAAGCGAGTACGTTGCCAATGCACCATGTTGCCAACCGGGAAGGGCGCTGTTAGAGGGTACTTCAGTGCCCCTGGAAACCATAGACCCAAACAAGGAATAGTGGGCCAGCGTCCGAATTTTTGGCTTTTTTCGGCCTAATTGTTACCCAAAATGATTTTTTAAATAAAAGTCCGTAGCAAATTTGAAAACCATATTCGGAATCAGCGAAAAATTCTGCACAAGATGTACTTGGTCCCGAATCGAAACTCCAAGTTTACAACACTTTCAACACTTTACAGTTACAGGGTGGCCCGAAAGTACGTTGACCGGGTTTTTTCGGATTTTCTAAAAAACTATAAGTACATGCAGGGTCATATTGACATAGGATATTTCTTATACAATTACTTTCAACACGGTATTATCACTTTTCCTATGGACTGACTTAAATTCGGAAAAACTGGCCGAGAAGATTGCTGAAAATGAGGTGCCGGCACGCGGGTACTCGGCGTCGTATTTGCCCCATAACTCAGCGAAGACTGAACTAAGGATGTTCAAATTTGGATGGGACCTAGCCAAGACTGAGGCCTTCAAGACCTATCACACCAAAAAATTTAGCCGGCTTAGGTTCTGCCGACAGAAGGGCGACTATGAGCGATCAAAAAACGCGTGTTTCAAAACCTTAATTGCGGCTCCAGACACTTGCGCTTGTGCGAGGGCCCTGAGCCTTCACCGGAAGGTCGTGCTTTACCAAAAAGCTAGGCACGTCTCTTAAATGACTCAGAAAGCCAGCATATGTCTTTTTATCCAAAGGGGATTAATTTTAGATTTTACCATTTTCAGGAATTTTCGCCATGTGCTGTGCAATTAAGGTCCTAACGGAAAATTGGGGTAGTGTTGCCTTCCACGCGCCTGTCCAAATTTAGAAGAATTGCATAAGGAATACAATTCATAGCCTTGTTTTGCCTGTCCTACGAGCGTAAGTGTCTGGAGCCGCTATTAAGGTTTTGAAACATGCGTTTTTTGATCGCTCATAGTCGCCCTTCTGTCGGCAGAACCTAAGCCGGCTAAATTTTTTGGTGTGATAGGTCTTGAAGGGTTCGGTCTTGGCTAGTTCTCATCCAAATTTGAACATCCTCGGTTAAGTCTTCGCTGAGTTATGGGGCAAATACGACGCCGAGTACCCGCGTGCCGGCACCTCATTTTCAACAATCTTCTCGGCCAGTTTTTCCGAATTTAAGTCAGTCAATAGGAAAAGTGATAATACCATGTTGAAGGTAATTGTATAGGAACCAAAATATGTCAATATGACCCTGCCAGTACTTATAGTTTTTTAGAAAATCCGAAAAAACCCGGTCAACGTACTTTCGGGCCACCCTGTAGAAGGCCAGCAACAGTGGTAGTACTCCACGCTCCATCTCACGTCCAGCGTAAATTGGCCATCCGCGTAGTCGCTTCGAGAGATTTTCGGGTGGAACTCCGGTGCTTTTTCTCTAAATAAATTTTTACTACGATTTTGGCTTGCAATTTTTCTTTCGATTCTTCTCACTGCTTTACACTTTTCTGACAATCGGCTTGCTTTCTTGTCACACAACGGCAGCGATGCGTGCTCGAATATATACAAGCGCGTTTTGAAGAAATTCTTGCGCCCTGTGTAGCCCTTTTTGGTGTCATCAGGATGACCTTGTCTTTCTAGGTTGACCTATAATCATTTCTCCGAAATCAGTGAGACCACGGAACAGCACAAAGAACGATATAAAAGCACGTCATTTTTGCCGAGATGCCGCAAAGCGCTCGAGATAACAGGCAGGTCTGTGAAAAGTCTCCTACTTCCATGCCGCTTTTAATTTTGTTTTTCTTATTCGGAGTTGTGTTGGGAGGATGTCCCGCGGGTACGCAAAATCAGACCGATCCCACGTCTTGTCTGGCAGTTGCATTGAATGAGTGTGAGTTTTTGAACTTTTTTTTAAGTAATTAGGTGTAAAATACTATCGAAGTGAATATTTAGATTTGACTTTTAATTTGGCTGCTGACCGATGTTTCAATGAAAAAGGGCGAATGGCAAGGCTGGAGAATGCCTTTGACAATCGAGCAGCTTCCATTGCAGCTCAAAAACGTATGTTTTGAAAGCTACATAAAAATAATTCGAACACTTCTAACGTATTCTTAGATAAATATTGAAAGCACTATGTTCTTTTAGTGACTTTGTACGAATATTTCTACATTGGACTCCGGAAAGTCAACGGTTCCTGGTTCTACCAAGACGATGAATTTGCCGAACTTCCGCTTTCGTATGCGAATTGGGGCCCCGGTTAGTTACATGGACGAAAGACTATTCCATGGCTGTCTGACCAAACATTATTTAAGAAGATTCGTTAGCCAAAAACGATTGAAAAAGATGAATTCCATGTTTCAGGTGAGCCTGCTGATAAACCCGGCTTTAACTGCGCCATCATGAATACGCTGGACTCGAAATGGTATGCACGAGACTGTCTACAGTATTACCCGTATTTCTGTGATCTGCCGGCGTTGAGTGCGTCTTTGGTTAATATTGGTTTAAGAATTATCAGAAACACCCGGCTATTGCACTGATACGGCAAAAGCAGATATATTCTTTATGGTGGATGGTTCCGGGAATGATGATGATCGGTTCTTGGTGAGTCTATTGCTTTTCGTAACTTGGTAATAAATGCGACGAAGCCATAAATATATGCTTAATTTTAGCTGCACGAAGTTTTGCGGGCCTTCAATTCCGAGCTTCAGACGCAGTGGTATAGTAAGTCTGGCTGCCAACCGGCGTTGTTAAACCAGCAGAACACGCGAGTTACAGGTTAGCAACTACAAATATCGATTGTAATAATTATTCATCGTGAAATTATCTTCTTCAGGGATGATTTATTACGGAAATACAACGATGGCTGGGCGACCTGTGCCCTATTTTTGTCTAGATCATTTTGAAACGGTGGTCAGCGACACGATAGCCAATTTTTCGGCACCTGCTATTGTTAGCGACATCTCGGTGTAAGACGTTTTCAAGAAAACCAATCTAAATATAATAACGTCTATTATTGCTCACAAATCACCTTTCAGAGCCCTACAATCGGCTCATAACTATACGGAAGGGAAAGACTGCAACTGTCGCCGAACCGCGGCTAATTATGG